CACTGACCATGGCCAGACAGCAAGTGAGGACGAGCACGGGAGCTCACACCGAGGTCTTGATGCCACTGGATTTGGCCAATGGACCAGGGCTGTAGCTGCTGGGCTCCTGTAGGAACTTATGAATCCTTCATTCACTGCCATGTGACCTGACCAATTCTTTTCTCCATCTGAATCTCAGTCATTTAATCGATAAAATGGGCATTACTTTAAGGTGGTATGAAGTGAAAGGTCACATAAAAGGCCGTCATGTCAAGATGAGAAGCTGGACTGTGTTTGCAGGCAGAAGCTGTTGGCACCATTTGTAGGCAGTTTCTCAGGACTCCAGCCAGGTTGGATGTAGTGAAGACGACTTCCCAGAGGAGGTGACTGTTTTCTAGTCCAGTTACTGGGCTGATTCTGGTGCCCACTGCCTTGCCTTTTTTCCTCCTCAGGACTTTCATGTTCCCAGTGAGGATTACACTAAGCAGCAATTATGGTAGGAGGCCTGGACCTCACAGGAGAGCGAGCTGACTGGCTTCTGCCCTGAGCACATGGCCAAGTCAGATACGGGCAATATCGTTTTAATCAATCTGGGTGCCCCATGCTGCGTGAACAGCATCCCTCAGGCCTTGTTCGTGGTTTTTGAATAGACGCTGATTTTGCACTTCCTGTCTGCCCTTGGTTCTCCGCATTATGGTCAATGGTAGATGGTAGAAAGGAGTGAGAATGTGGGCTGGAGAGAGTGGGTCTTGCTTTGCATTGCTGACATGATCCCCTGAGGTCTGTGGATACGTGAAGGCCCCAGAGGGCCTCAAGCCATTGTCAAGGTAGTAGGTAGCAACGGGATAAGAACTCAAGATGGGCACAAGGGTAGGCGGGAGGAGGGGTCCTCGCTGGCTGCTTGACATCACTGACTTTTCTCCATGAGTCCATGGTGGTGGACTGCGTCCTCCTGTGTGGAGCTCCCATTCATTCTGGTTTCAGACATGTTTTTGTTGAATGCAACAAACGCAGTATTTACTATCTATGGCTACCTATTCACTTTATGGCTTGCTTAAAAATCACTCAAAATTTCAGCTTTGATTCTGTGAAAGTAAGCTTTGATCCAGGTTTATAGTATGACCTCAAGGCAATTTCTCCTCTCTGAACTTCAGGTTCAGCAGAGGAGGTTGGCTATGATCTCTGACTTCCCAAGCTGCGGCTCCTTGTTCTTCTCAAACTTCCTGGTGAAGGACTTGTTTTTTTCTAATTTTGGTCTGCTGCAGACCATTACTTTTGTAAAATACAATAAAATGACTTACCAAAAAAAAAAAAAAAAAAAAAAAAAAAAAAAAAAAGACCCTGTGTTTATGTGGCCATGGTAATATCACAATGCTTTACAGGTTTCTAAAGGCTTCCTCCATTTCTGAACTTACATTGCCTTGAAACAGCTGAGTGGCCCACACTTTAAGAAGTGCTATTCTGTGCGGTGGGCTGTTTGGAGAAATGCATGACTGATCTTTCCAGATTGTCTAGTGAGAAGAGAAACAAAGCTGGGATCTGGAAATCAGCTTGTTCCAGGGAATATGGGCATGAAGAGGATCTCCTTCCTGTCTCTCATAGGACCACACCTCTGCCATCAGAAGCCAGTGTACACCACCATGTCCTCTTCTGTCAGCATAATTCTCATACTGATGCCTGCCTTTCTCATTTGAAGGCAGGGGGATAACTTTGGGTGACTCTAGGGCCAGGGTGCTGAGCAGGGCTGCAGGAGTGGACTGGGGGTGGAGTTGGAGCCAGAGGCACTGCTCTGCATAGGTCTGAATGCCCTGTCCCAGGGAAGCAGGGAGAAAGTGGTGTGGGTGGAATAACTCATGGTGGCTCTAGGGCCAGGCCCCTGAACAGGGGCTGCAGCAGTGGACTGGGACAGAGGTGGAGCTTGCTGCTTTGCAGGGGTGTGGATGCTCTCTCCTGGGGAACCATGGAGAAAGGGGTATGGGGGCTGCTGTGGTTGGAATGATGTTGACATGAACTCCGTGGCAGACCTGAGCCCCAGCCTTAGAACCCTGGTACCACAAGACCTTAGGACACACTAATCTTTGGCTCCTGGGGCTACGGGATGTCAGAGCTGGAAGGGACTTCAGGGGTTACCTTGTTATACCGCTTATTTTCCAAACCAAGGTCATTGCTGTGTTTCCAATCCCAGACACTCTGGGCCAAGTGTTCACCTTCTCTTCCTCCGGGTCCCATGCCTCCAGCCTCACTTTGAACTAGAAATGCCTGTTCTGCCTTTGGCCTGGAGACCATGGGTGAGTAGAGGCTCCTTCGGGGCCTTTGCTTACCCTGGGCACTCCTGCTTTTTTTGTGAAGCTTCAAACACTCTTGGCTTCATTTGAGAACAACTCACAGCCTTTTATTTCCAGGCTGCAGTGGCTCTTTGCCTTCCTGGATCAAGCCTCCCGCTGCCAAGTGTGTGCAGCGGGAGGCATGGGTGGAAAGGTAGCTCCGGTCAGGCCCCCACAGTGACACCCTCCCTGCCCCAGGACCCACCTGCATGTGACTACAAGAGCCTGCTTCATGGAAGAAGCTATTAAGCCCTTGTCTATGCTAGCACAGGTTCATGATGGAGCCTCTGGGGCCATGGCAGGGCCCCCTAGAGCCCCATTCTGTGCTGTGCTGCCCAAATCTCTCTCCAGTGATTCCACCTACTGCATTAAGTCTGGGGCCTTCACGTGCTGTAAGTATCATTCATCTACTGTCAACTTTGAGCACCCACATTGCCAGGCATCCCTGGGCTGTTGAGGGTACAGAAGTGAATGAAGGGGGTGAACAAAAAGGGGGAGAATGGCCTGGGACCAGGGACCCACAGGGACACCACTGCCCTCTCTGTGAAAGCGTTGTGTGGTCTCCAGGGCTCCAGCTTTGACTTGAACCTGGTCAACTACTTCCTGTTCCCTCACAGGCTGACAGCAGAGAGCTGCTGCTCCAGCGAGGTGGGTGCTGTCCCTAAGGGTGTTGAACAGAGGGGCCTGAGCCAGCGGCCACACTACCTCATCCAAAGATTGCTGCGCTTCCCCTTCGATGCGGGAACTGCAAGATCCTGGGTGACATCGCTGCCCACTTGCTGGTGCCAGGCCAGAGCTGTGAACTAGCACTGAACCAGCACTCTCTGGAGTGTCCCGGGAGAGCTGTCCCAACCACTGCTAAGCCCGCAAGGGTGCTGCTGCCCAGCCCCTATGGGAAACTGCCCACACAGGTGGCCTTCTCCTGCTGTCTACGGCAATGTCCCATCCCTCTTATGCAAGGAAAGTCTGTGTGCTCTTTTACCAGCAGTGGCCCAGGGAGGGGCCCAAGGCTGAGCCGGGCTCTCCCAGAGTCTGGACCACGTCCACCCTCCACATGGCTGGACGGAAGCCATTTCCAAGGACAGCAACATCCTCACCTGTGGGAGAGCAGACCCACCAGATTCCTGGATTTGATCTCCTGGGTGGAGATGCATCCAGTCTCAGCCAAGCATTGGGTCAATATAGTATTTCCCTTCACTTTGAGTCTTTTAAAAATCCATCCATCCGTTCATTCATTCATTGCTCAGTGTCGGAATATATTGGTGATCCAAACAGACCTAACCCCTTACTTCAGAGGAACAGACACTGCATAATGAATTATGCAGTTATTTAGTAAGTGTGCTGTTCTACGAGTGTGAATGGCCAAGTGTCAGTGGGAGGTTAGTTCTAGCTCCTAACTGTGCCTGTGACTCCACCCTTTAGAGTTAAGGGTGGTATCAAAATATTTAACAACTGGAACAGCAAAGGCTTTGGCCAGCAGGATGAGTTTTAGCCATGGACAACCAGAGCAGTACCTGAGGGCTGAGCGGGGGCAGTCCAGTGACCTTCTTGTGCCTTGACCCTGCTATAGCCCCTTTTCTACAAAGAGAAAGACCCTTGTTCTCAAACAGTATGAAACCAGCCTCTCTGGAGCCTTTGAAAGCTGTTGCTCTTCCTGTATGCTGTACCCTTGATTTCCTCACTGCATCTGGGCAGCCTGATAGGGACCCGTGCTCCTCCTTGGTAAGGCGGGGACATACCCGTCCCCTTCACTTGAGATACAGCATGGAGTGAGAGCCCTGTGTGCTGAAGGACTTGCCTAGTTCTGAGGCTGGGAGGACCTAGAGGATTGAATGGAAGAGGGAGGAAGGGTGCACAGGATGCGGCATCCCAGTGGAATACTGTGGAGGAGACTCACCTCTCAGGTGCACCTGAAACCCAAATAACTGGAGATGTTTCAGACCCAAGAATTCTGGACTGCCCACAAACACCTGTTGCAGATGCCACATTCCTTTCCTCGCACCTAAGAAGCTGGGGAGGTTGAGAGGGGGTTGTCACATCTCCAGAGCTGGACTTGACACGGGTCAGGGCTAGCTGGGAGGCAGCCCCGTTTCTCCGGAACTCAAACCCATCTCCTTCCCGTGGGCACCATCCCATCCAGGAGCTGGAGAGGAGCACACGAGCAGCCACACTGGCAGGGCCAAGGACTAGCTGTCACACAGGGCCATGGTGCACCCACCATGGCTACACCCAGCTCCTTACCACAGGCACCATCCCATCCTGGAGCTAGAGAAACGCAGGAGCAGCCACGCTCACAGAGCCCAGGATCAGCCTTCACCACAGGTTTCCCACTCCAGAGCCTGCACCCGGCTCCTTTCCTGGACCCCACCCTATCCTGGAGTTGAAGAAGAGAAGTGGGGCATGTACAGAGCCTGGGAGCAGCCCTTACCACTGGGTCCCCAAGCACCATGCCTGCAGTGCCATTTGGGAGAACATGGTACAGGTAAAAAGGCACCAGGGACCTCAAGGGCTGCCCCACTTGTGCAGTGGGTGGAGGGGAGCTGTGAGATGTCAGACCTCAGGGACCTGTGCCAGAGGCCCAGTGGACACAGACACAGATGAGGCCCTCTCGGAACCCACCACTAGACACCCTTCTGAGAAAGACGAATTGGCAGATGCTAGCACAATGTCCAGTTTACAGATTAGGAAAACAGATTATGTGATAAAGAGAATTTATTTTCTTTCTGAGCCAGGAAAACTACTTATTTCCTACTTAAGATGAAGTGAACAGACTGGCACAGTGGCCTTCCTGGGTCATTGGAGAAATGATTCTGAAACGCTTTTCTTGTTGACAGTGTGTGTCTGTGCCTACCCAGGGCAGCCAGGTCTCAGGCTCACCCCAAGGTGGGACTTCAGTGAGTATGGGCTCCACTCCCAGAGAGACCCAAGCAGCCCACCCTGGGCTGTATTCCTCATGCACTTCACTGTTGTCCTGCTCCAGTGCCTCAGTACAAAGGAGCCTGCCAGCACGAGGCCTGTCCCGTGGCCACAGCAGAAACGACAACCACTTGAGCACACTCCTGTCACCCCAGGTCTGCTCACAGGGTAAATACACATAATAAAAGTTGTAGAAAAAAATGGATTAACTTCAGTGATTAGGCACCAACAGTGATTTGAAAAATGAAATGTCAGTTTTAAATGGTACCAAGTCAAGAACTTAAGACGGGGCTTCTCGCCCATTTTCTCTTAAGGAGAAACCAAACATTCTGTACAAAATGATTCTAAACAGCAAGATACAAGTAGCCAACAAATAAAAACAAGAACACACACTGCCGGACCGAATATGCCAGCCTGACTCTGCAGTGGGCTCTCAGCAGGCAGACGGCCATTGTCCCAGGCCCCAGGGGCCTGGTGTATCCCAGAATGATGCCCTTAGTGCTCTGCAGGTCAGCCTCCCCTCCCCCACACTTCCTAGATCAAGGCCCAGGCCCAGAACGGCAGTGCTCACTTCCCTGTCCTGCATCTCCCTGGAGGTCACAGTCATACCGGTGGTGCTGTGCCAGGGCCTGGGACTGAGATGACAGCCTCACAGCATGCTGAAGGACCACAAGACAGACTGCAGCTGAGCCTATGATCCCACAACCAGAATGGTTGTGCTTCTGCCGTAGGAATGCGGTCTGTTTGACTGGTTTGAACTAAAGAAGTTGTCCGTATCAAGCCAGGGAGGGACTGGCTAATTGGCCAAAGCTCTGGTGTTGCTCATCCCTCGTGATGCAGATCCTCCAGAAAGAAGTAACAGAGCAAGGAGCTCCCCGAGACCAGTAGAGCCTCAGCCTAGGAAGGGGCCAGAAAATATCAAATCCAACTACCCACTCCACAGATGGAAAAGCAAGGTCCTAGGGAGATGTCCTTGCCCCTGCTTCTCATTGTTCCCACCTGACTGCTCTCTAACTTTGCAGGTGGTGGGGGTGGGTGAAGAAGGCTCCCCTGGAGAGCCCAGCAGGACAAGCCCTCATGTGAGTTGCACTGGCTGAGGTGTCCCTTTTTGGGGTCTCACTCATGGCCAGGCCACCAGGGGAGGTGGATTTTAACCTCATGATAGGTCCAAGGACCCCTGTATTAAGCTGAGTTGACTTTTCCTTCTGGGCTGGTGGGTGGAGGGGTGGATACATGCTAGACATGACTGGAGTTTAGGCTTGGGAATAGAGCTCTGCTTCCAATAGGCCCGTGTCCTCTTCTCTTGCCCTTCTTTCCATCTCCACCCTAATCTCACCCTCAGGGTTTTGGTGGTCACAGGAACCAAGAGCTAGAAGGAACCCCTCTGGAGATGGGACTTCAACACCTCAGTCTCTGAAGCCTCCACCAGGTTCATGCATGCCACGCACACTCAGAACACGCAGCACTTTCTCAGCAGCCTGGGATCAACAAGGAAGGTGACTGGGCTGGGAACTGAGATCAATACTGGGCCCCATTGTAGTCAGCTGGGGACAGGGAACAGCAGTTAAGAGCTGCGCTGTATGGGGTCTCTTGCAGAGGACCTTACAGGGACACAGTCAGGGCTGGGCCAGTCATCCAGCACCCTGCACACTCTGCCCAGTGTGGCCACCCGGCCATCACCATTCCAACTGTGGAAGCACAAAGGCCCGGCCCCTGCAGTTCTGAGCAGCTGGACCTGCACTCCAAAGTCCCTTTGGTCCCTCAGCACAAGGCTTTTCCAGTCTGTCGTTCCTTCTTCCTCCACCGCACCCTGGCCCTGCCCTCCTTCCCTGTAAAAATCTGACCTAACTTCCTCTCAAGCCTAACTCAGGCACCCCTTGTCCTAAAAACCACCTTCTCTGCCTCCACTCCCTGAGGAGTTTCCACTTTCCGGGCACCCCATCAGCATCTTCAGCCCATCTTGCCCATCACCACCGTCTGCGTCCTTGTCCTTTCCCTCACTGATGTGACCTTGTCAAGTTTGGGAAAAGGTCTGATAGACTCCTGTGTCCTCAGTGCCTAAGCCCGGGGCCTGGCCACCTGAGCCAGGGGAGAGGGCTCCTGCTGAGGGGTACATCCCCAGAAGCTGACCAGGCCCCTGGTCTGGTGAAGTGTGGCACTCACAGGTGCTGACAGGGTGTGGAGGCCGCCTCCATCAAACCCTGTGGGCAGTCATTTTTTGGAGGAGGAAAGTCTATTCACCCCAAGGTAGGTTGAAGTGTCTGCTCTGCCCTGTTCATTCTGAAACTCTTAATGTTTTCCCTTCCTTTTGCCTTTCCCTCTCTGCCTCTCCCACCCAGGAGCAGCTGCCATACTCTGGCCTCAGTCTGAAAGTGGGAGACCCTGCAGGTAAGAGCTGCCTTGCTGGGTCTAAGGATCTAATTCCTTTGCTTCTCAAGACCACCTTTAACCTTCCTTCTCAACTATCTCTCAACGTCTGATGGCCTTGCCTCTCCCCTGACCAAAAAATGCCAGGGCTGAAAAGGTCCATGTCCACTGTGGCCTGCGGGCCTTGGGTCCCAGGGTCAGCAGGGTAGCTCCTCATGTTCCAGGATTGAGGGCAACAGCCCAAAGGCTAGAGGGAAGAGGCTGAGGACCGTGAGCGAAGTGTGAGTGTGGAAATCTGTTGGGAGCCTGGGTCTGAGGAGCAGGAAGAGACTGAGGATGCTTGCTGGCAACCGCTCCTAGCAAGGGGGTGAAGGTGGGGACCACAGCCAGCCAAAGGCAGACGTGGGCCCCGAGTAGGCAGAGGATGTGCCTGGATCAGGCCTCTGCTCTCTGGATAAGGGATGCGGTCCCTGATACCACAGAGCTGTAGAGTGTGGAGGAGCAGCTCTGAAGCACTGTCCTGGCCCCGCTCTGGTTTTGGTGGCCCAAGTCACAGCTTGGCACCCCGGGGAGGCTCCAAGGACTGCCGCAGGCACATCTGTTCATGCATGGTCTTCTGCAGGGCCCAGGTCTTCTCCAGATCCACCTGGACATAGTCCACCTTCTCCCCAGACGTGACAGAGCCTATGGATGACTGAGGGACAGAGGGTGGAAGTGGGAGTGGGAGTGTCTGTGAGTTCCTGGTGAGGAAGGACAAGCTGAGGAAGGGGCTCTCCCAAACTGTCTCAGGGGGAAAGGACCCTCCGCCTCCTGCTCTCAGCAGCCTGTGGGGCCTGGGCTTTAAAGCCTCAACTCCAGGCTAACCTCTCCTGCTGCTGGATGCCACAGCCCTGCCAGCACTTCTCATCTCCCAGCTCGCAGGAAGAGCCAGGCCCTTCTCTGGCCCAAAGATTGGTCAAGGCCTTCCTCTCTAAACACTCATCCAGGGCAGGAAATTTCCCAGGTGTCAACAAGCACCAGCCTAGGCCTTTCCAGGGGTGCCTCGGTGAGCCCTATCTCCCCAAAGGGGGCAAGGCACAGAGGTGGAGCTCTCCACCCTGCTGTCTAGACAGGCTGGCTACTGTCTAGTAGTAGACGGTGCTTTACTGTCTACCAGTAGGTGTGCTTTCTCGGGAGGCTTTCCGGGGCCCCGAAGTCCCTTCTGACGCCCCCGCATCAATGGCCGAGCTCTGGAACCCTCCCACACAGTGAGTTCTCCTCATAGAAGAGTTTGGCCTGGAGCCAGGTTGCTGAGTCCCGGGTCTCTCCTGATTTATTCCGCAACCTCCACAGATCAGGTCTCCACACCGTCATCTGTCTGTCTCTACAGGGAGTCAGGGCAGGCTGATGAAGGCACCATGCTGAGAGGGAAGGAACAGGAGCCCCAAGATCCAGATCAGAGCACCACTGAGCATAAGAGCCAGGCACTGGGCTGGCAGTGGCAGCCCAGCAGCCCGGTGCGGCTGGTGCTGAAGGGCCTGGCCCCACAGTCTCTCTCCCAGGACCCAAGGACTCTGCCCAAGCCCAGCTCCACCCCAGGCACCTTGCTCGGCTGGAAGTCCAGGGCCACATAGTGGATGGTACCAGTGCTCCTTGGCAGGGCTGAACTGCTGGTGCCACCGGAAGCAGGAAATGCAGATGCCGCATTCTGCTGTCACAAGGAGGAAAATCCTACAAATGAGTTTAGGACACAGACAGACGCAGCACCCAGTGGATCACACCTGTGGGTGTAGCTGCGAGCCTACTGGGTCCTACTCTGAGCCATGCACTGGGGCACACTCTGCTCATTCAAACCCTCTCAGCAGTCCTGTGAGCCAGGTGTTACTACCGTGCCTCTCCTTCATACACTAGATGCTGCACCCAATCAGTCCTCTGAAACTCCCACCCATGGCCCAGAGTGGGTCCATCCTACAAAGCAGCTGCCTCCCCCTCCAGCTCCCAGAGATCAGCAGTGCCCACCACCCCGGGCTGCACGGAGCCTACTCCCTTACTGCCCACCACCCCGGGCTACATGGAGCCTACTCCCTTGGCAGCTCTCCAGGAGACACACAGGGTCCCCCAGCCTCCTTCCTAGAAGGCTGCCACCTTGCTGGGACATTCCTGAAGTGTGGCTCTGGTGAGAAAAGCGGCCGCCCTGGGCTCTGGGTTTTGGCTGCTTTGCTGGTTGGCTGGCTCATTCTTCCGGTATCTATGCAGCAACTATCAAGTGCTGGTCATGATGCCCTCTTCAGTGCCAATCTAACGGGTATCCTGTGGTCCACCTGCATCTCCACGTCTCTCACAGCCCTCACCACGGTGAGGCATGTACATTTGTGTCTCCCCATGGCCAACAAGACACCTCCAACTCTGCCCCTTCCAGGGCAGGGCCCACCTGTACCACCATCGTGAGGGCGAGGCGGGCTGCCTCTGCTCTTCAAGTTCCAGACTTCCTTAAGGGGAAACCATCATATTCCTAACCCTGATGATTGCCTGATATGCCTGTGCTCAAGAAGGCTTGCAACAGGAGACCAAATCACACCTGACTGGGCTGGGGTGAGTCAGCTGGGGTAGCTAAGCTGGGAACCAGGGACGTGAGTGTGGGTCCCAGGGGACTCTGAGAGGAGGCTTACAGTGACCCCCAAGGACTCACCAAAAAAATCTCTCTCTCTCCACTGTCTTCTGAGTCTGTGCTGGTGATGCTCTGCATGGAGATGGGGTATTGGGAGGAGCTGGAGTAAAAGGTGTGGCTGTCGTGGGAAGAAGGCAAGGAGGACATCCTGCGTGGGGCTCAGGGCTTCTGTCAGGGCTCCAGCCTCCAGCTGGGCCCTGACTTGAAGCATCCAGACCTCACACTGTTACCAGATCAAGAACTGACGGGGCAGGGATCATTATTCCCCCTTTACAGATGAGAAGGCCGCCACGCCTCATGAGACACAGTCAAGATCAGCTATGTCCAGATCAACATCAGCGTCCAGTTTCCTGACCACAAGCCAATGGCCATCCCACTCACTCCACCAACCCGAACCAAGCTCCTGTTTCCACTGACAGACACTCACCTGGTCCCAGACCAGGACTCTGTGACAGGTGGCTTGAAGGAGAGCTCACTGATGACCCTGTTGTTTCTCAGGTTGGATGGTGTTGGATTTGCTGGAGCAGGAAAAGAACCTTCAGTCATCAGCCAGGTCTGGTTCCCTGCGGCCAGAATGATCCCCACCCAGGTATCCCACTCCTTCCTTGAACCCTGTGCTGGGCCAAGGCCACAAGGTGAGGTCATAGCAGCCTGGAACCTGAACTCTAGCTCTTCTTCCTGGTCTACACGTGGAGGGCACAGACCAAACTTCACTGGACACCTGCTGTGAGCCAGGGCCACTGTCCCAGACACTCTCCTTCCAAACAAACCCAGGAAGTAGGAGTTACTATCTTCATTTCACAGAGAAGAAAACTGAGGCTCAGAGAATTCACATGACTTGCCAAAGTCAGACGTTCCACATCCAGGATCCACCTGACCCCTAAGCGAATGAAGAGTCCCTGGACATTGTCAAGAGATAGAATGGGGAAAGACTTACCTTTCCGGTTAGGCTTGAGGCTGCGGTTGACAGGGGGCAGCTGGACCTCATGTCCCTGGCTGACATCTTGGTGCACAGAAAGCTCCATGAGTGGGAAGCCAAGCAGGCTAAAGCAAACAGGACATGAGCCCACAGCGGTGCAGACACCCTGAGAATCGCTGCTTGCTTGCTCCACAGCCACCAGGGTAGGGAAGCCTGGGTTCATGGGCACACAGCTGTCCTCAGAAGCAATGCTGTCCGACAGGCCCACGAGTGCTTTTCCTGGCTAGGAAGGGGAAAGTGAAAGAAACACAGCTATCACCAGCAAGAACAAGATAGGAATGAGAATTTCTAGACAAGGCCAAAAAGAGTCATGATTGGGTGTTCTGAACGAAACTCTTGATCACCTTGGCTGGGGGCTGCCGTCTTCAGCAGCCACCAGAGGCCCAGACAGAAGAGCTCCAGCCAGGAACCCCATGCATGGGGCCCCTCTGGGCAGCCTCAGGGGTCAGACTTTGGAGCAGCTTCCATGACACAGTCACACGTAAAAGTGGAAGAGTTTTCAGTTCTTACAGGTCCTGGGAGGTCAGGGAGCACAGACAAAGAGAGCAACAGGAAAGAGGGTGGCAACTGGCAGTGTATCTTGCGGAATGGGGTGTGGATCACTTAATTGAGGTTGGAGTAAATGCCTGGATGATCCATTTAAAGGGAGCAGCAAGACAGTGGCGAGCCCAGTCTGCTGGCTGGGGGAGGTGAGTCTAAGTTCCTATCTCTGGCCACTGACTGAAGCCACATGGGTGTGATGTAGAACTGAAAACCGTCGGGGTGACTAAGTCCTCTGCCTCTGTTCTGAGAAAGTTAAACCTGCATTCAATGTGGATGCCAGGGCAGCATACAATTATAAGCCTTCATTACATGGGGAGGGCTACACATTGAAGCTATCAGAGTGACCCTGGAAAGACTCTGAAATCAGAGTAGAGGCAAGAAAAAATGAGATGTCTGGGCCCTTCTAGCTCTCAGGACCCCATGGGGTCCAACTACAATTTGTGACAAATCTATAGGATAAAATATCTTTAGTGGCTGGGTCCACTCTGGTTTCTGGATGCTGGACCCAAGCAGAAGGCAGCACAGGCCGTGCACCATGCAGGTGTGGCCTCAAGACCCACCATCCACCTCAAGTCCTGACTCAGCACTGGCGGGTGTGGGGAAAAGAAAGAGAGATCAGACTGTTACTGTGTCTATGTAGAAAGAAGTAGACATAAGAGACTCCATTTTGTTCTGTATTTGAGATACTATTAACCTGTAACCCTACCCCTAACTCTGTCCTTGCCAGAGACATGTGCTGTGGTGACTCAAGGTTTAATGGATTTGGGACAGTGCAGGATGTGCTTTGTTCAAAAAGTGCCTGAAGGCAGTACGCTTGTGAAAAGTCATCACCATTCTCTTAATCTCAAGTACCCAGGGACACATACACTGCGGAAAGTTGCAGGGACCTCTGCCTAGGAAAGCTAGGAATTGTCCAAGGTTTCTCCCCATGTGATAGTCTGAAATATGGCCTTGTGGGAAGGGAAAGACCTGATCGTCCAACACCCATGAAGGGTCTGTGCTGAGGAGGATTAGTATAAGAGGAAAGAAGGCCTCTGGGCAGTTGAGATAGAGAAAGGCATCTGTCTCCTGTCCGTTCCTGGGCAATGGAACGCCTCACTGTAAAACCTGACTGCATGTTCTATTTACTGAGATAGGAGAAAACCGCCTTAGGACTGAAGGTGGGACGTGCTGCAGTGCGGCTCTTTATGCACTAAAAAGGTTTATGGAGATGTTTGCATATGCATATCAAGGCACAGCACTTTTCCTTAAACTTATTCATGTCACAGAGATCTTTATTCACATGTCTTTCTGCTGACTTTCTCCCTCCTATGATCCTATTTGTCCTGCCACTTCCCCTTTTCCAAGATGGTAAAGATAATGATCAATAAATACTGAGGGAACTCAGAGACAGGTGCTGGCGTGGGTCCCCTGGGCCCACTTTTACTTTGTCTCTGTGTCTCATTTCTTTCCTCAAGTCTTTCATTCCACCCAAGGAGAAACGCCCAAAGGTGTGGAGGGGCAGGCCACCCCTTCAGGCAGGTCAGCATCTCAGGCCCTGATCAAGGCAAGGACCATATCAGATGTCTTGGCCCTGGAAGGTGAGGTGTGGGGCGAGGTGCACTTCAGCAGACAAGGAGATTCCTCTCCCCCAACGGCTGTGATTAGCAGACAAGGTATCAGGGAGGTACAGGGAGCTTGGGGCTCACTCAGGCTTGTGGGTGACCACCAAGCTGCAGTCAGAGCTGCCACAGAGTTGTGCAATGCAGCAGACCTAGGTACAGCCTTCCTCCAGCTCCTGCCCCATCTGCCCTCTGCCTTGGTTACCTAATTCCCACCATCTTTATAAGGGGCCTGAAGCCAGGCTTTGTTGCTTGTCTGACACCTTGGAGAACTGTGGTTACCCTTTCCAGGTGGCAGCCTGGAATCCATCCACCTCACCTGACTCTGAGTACTGCCCTTCCCTTGAGGCTCACATGGAAGCACCCCTTCTCCAGAGGATCTCCTGGATAAGGTTGCTGAATCACATCACCCACCACCCCGGTAGCCTGTCCCCTCCGCCTACCCATACCAAAGGCTCACAGGGAAGCACTCCTGCCCCAGGGGACCTCATGGGTTAGAGCACCTGCTTAGAGCACCCAGAACCCCAGCATTCTGCACCCTCTGCTACCCACAGGGCTGGTGAGCCTTGTGATCCCATCTACTTAAGTACTCACTTTCTTCCAGACCTGGATACCTGTATCTCACTTATCCAAAAACTGAACCTATGATTCTGAACTGAGGCAAGAACCCAGGCAGGCTCCTAGGAGGGAGATGCTGTCACCCTTTGGGGGATGTGCTTTTAGTTCCCTGGAGTGTGACCTTTACCTCCCTGAGCCAGCCTGGGGACCCCTGGTTCAGTCATACTCACCAGGAAAGAACTGACTCCCTCATGCATGGACTCAGCAGGCCAGCCGGCATTCCCTCCACCATGCCGGGGGTACTTGCAGGAGGAAGCTATGACAGAGGAAGGAGATCCGCATGTATCACAGCTGATCCATGTGTTGATGCCTCCCACACCCTCCCCAGTGCTGCTCAGGGTCTCACTGACGCTCCAGAGGACACGACTCTCCACCCCAAATGACAAGGTGTTACCTCTAACACATCCTTGCTCCCTACCACAACTCCTCCTGGGTTTCCAGGTCCAGCTCCAGTGTTACCCACAGAGTGTCTCTCCTAGACATCTACCCACAGGACACACTTCTCCTTCAACTCCTATGGCACCCACCACCCATCCTCTTCACCCACCTGCCACCTCCAGGAACAGTAAAGAGGGCTTGTACTGACTTCTGCATATCGGTTTCATTTCATTGTGTACATAAATGTGAGCTCTGAACAGCAAACCTGTTTTATATATGTCTCTATCATTTCAATTTCACAGCACAAGGGCCTTGCTCAAATTGCTGAAACACTGAAAAGACTGCAAAGAGTTCTAACCCAGGATCCAGGACCTCAGCATGAGGTTCATCTTTGCCACTTCTGACTTGCAACCCTGAATAAGCCTAAGTACCACGGGCCTCATATAAAACAGAGAAAACAAGGCTTTGCCCCACCAAACTCCCTCATAACGGGAAGAACAAACAAAGGCTCTGCAAGATGTAAGAATGGATGCAAAAGGAAAGGAGTTACTATTGATCTATTTCTTTTCATTGAGGAGAAGAGGTTATATGCAGATATAAAATACTCTCAGTGGAAAACAAATGACAAAAAAATCTAGGTATTTCAAATACAAGTTTAGACTTCAAAGAGATCCAAATATAGGTTGGAAAATATTTTGAAGATCTCGTTTTGTTTCAACTGTGAGTCCACACTGGTTTGGCTCTAGTTTGGACTGATCTCCTCAATTTCTATTTTAAGTCTTTGCTTTGATTTACACATACATACACGATTATTTAGAATTCCAAACCCATAATGTGCTGTACTGCAACGAAGAATGTTCTGTCTCCCTTAGTAGAGGCTGAGTCTGCCACAGTCTTGCCACTGTGGTTGTCTACTAACAGCCTGCAGTGCTGGGGGACACAGCGGTCTCAAGGTCCAGACAGGAGATGAACTTGACTATCAGTGACCTGAGTGGCTCCCAAGTCTCCCTTGGCCATGGGAGACCAAGGACTAGCTAACCACTGAGAACCCGGTGCCACCTCCCCTCTCCCTCTATTTCTCGGTGAGGGCTCATACTGACCTTGGCAACATCGGCTGTTATCTATTGCAGGAAGGGTATTCCGCCTGGGGATGGCAGCGTCAATGGACCACCTGCTGCTTTCACTGACTGAAGGTCTCTGCTGAGGGCTGCCCCACTGACATGCTTCTGCCTGACTTGCCTTGGGCAGGGGAAGGGAGCCAATAGGCCCAGGAGTGGCCATGGCCGTGGCACAGAGGTTCTTGTCTAACGTGACTGTCCTAGGGATCTGGTGCGCTGAGAGTGGGATGGCCGGAACACCACTGTTGTTCACCAGGTGGCCCCCAAACTCCTGGCACAGGGTGCTTCTGGGTGCCTTGAAGGGGTACACACCCTCATTATCTGCCTCAGAGCCTGTGAGGCTGCCTCTGGTGTGGCCATGGGAGGCCAGGCTCCAGGGGGTTCTGCAGGTGCTGCCTCTGAATTCTGTATTGTGCTGGCTCGGCTTGGAAAGGCTATGGAAGCCATGGATGTGACCGCTGACTCCATCGACACTGCATTCACTGTGCTGGGCAAGATTTTGCACAGCTGTGCTTCTCCTCATGGGGAATGGGGCCCTGGAGCCCTGCGAGAAGCTGGCACTCCTAAGACAGAGAAAGAAGGGAAGGGGCAGGGGTGAGAGGAGTGCCCCAGGGAGGCAGGCGGGGAAGTTCACAGCCCCATGTAGTGAGATGGTATGGAGAAAACACAGGAAGAGGAATTGGGCAGACCTGAGGTTTGTCTAGTTTGGGAGTTCACTACCTTGTGGCCTTGAGCATTTTCCCTTTCTGAATCAGTATCTCCATCTATAAAATGGTGATTAAAAACTCACTTTGCAGGTTGCTTAGAAATCAGACTCTATAAGAAGGCAAGGAGGACATCCTGGGTGGGGCTCAGGGCTTCTGTCAGGGCTCCAGCCTCCAGCTGGCCCTGACTTGAAGCATCCAGACCTCACACTGTTACCAGATCAAGAACTGACGGGGCAGGGATCATTATTCCCCCTTTACAGATGAGAAGGCCGCCACGCCTCATGAGACACAGTCAAGATCAGCTATGTCCAGATCAACATCAGCGTCCAGTTTCCTGACCACAAGCCAATGGCCATCCCACTCACTCCACCAACCCGAACCAAGCTCCTGTTTCCACTGACAGACACTCACCTGGTCCCAGACCAGGACTCTGTGACAGGTGGCTTGAAGGAGAGCTCACTGATGACCCTGTTGTTTCTCAGGTTGGATGGTGTTGGATTTGCTGGAGCAGGAAAAGAACCTTCAGTCATCAGCCAGGTCTGGTTCCCTGCGGCCAGAATGATCCCCACCCAGGTATCCCACTCCTTCCTTGAACCCTGTGCTGGGCCAAGGCCACAAGGTGAGGTCATAGCAGCCTGGAACCTGAACTCTAGCTCTTCTTCCTGGTCTACACGTGGAGGGCACAGACCAAACTTCACTGGACACCTGCTGTGAGCCAGGGCCACTGTCCCAGACACTCTCCTTCCAAACAAACCCAGGAAGTAGGAGTTACTATCTTCATTTCACAGAGAAGAAAACTGAGGCTCAGAGAATTCACATGACTTGCCAAAGTCAGACGTTCCACATCCAGGATCCACCTGACCCCTAAGCGAATGAAGAGTCCCTGGACATTGTCAAGAGATAGAATGGGGAAAGACTTACCTTTCCGGTTAGGCTTGAGGCTGCGGTTGACAGGGGGCAGCTGGACCTCATGTCCCTGGCTGACGTCTTGGTGCACAGAAAGCTCCGTGAGTGGGAAGCCAAGCAGGTCAAAGCAAACAGGACATGAGCCCACAGCGGTGCAGACACCCTGAGAATCACTGCCTGCTTGCTCCACAGCCACCAGGGTAGGGAAGCCTGGGTTCATGGGCACACAGCTGTCCTCAGAAGCAATGCTGTCCGACAGGCCCACGAGTGCTTTTCCTGGCTAGGAAGGGGAAAGTGAAAGAAACACAGCTATCACCAGCAAGAACAAGATAGGAATGAGAATTTCTAGACAAGGCCAAAAAGAGTCATGATTGGGTGTTCTGAACGAAACTCTTGATCACCTTGGCTGGGGGCTGCCGTCTTCAGCAGCCACCAGAGGCCCAGACAGAAGAGCTCCAGCCAGGAACCCCATGCATGGGGCCCCTCTGGGCAGCCTCAGGGGTCAGACTTTGGAGCAGCTTCCATGACACAGTCACACGTAAAAGTGGAAGAGTTTTCAGTTCTTACAGGTCCTGGGAGGTCAGGGAGCACAGAAAAAGAGAGCAAGAGGAGAGAGGGTGGCAACTGGCAGTGTATCTTGCGGAATGGGGTGTGGATCACTTAATTAAGGTTGGAGTAAATGCCTGGATGATCCATTTAAAGGGAGCAGCAAGACAGTGGCGAGCCCAGTCTGCTGGCTGGGGGAGGTGAGTCTAAGTTCCTATCTCTGGCCACTGACTGAAGCCACATGGGTGTGATGTAGAACTGGAAACCATCGGGATGACTAAGTCCTCTGCCTCTGTTCTGAGAAAGTTAAACCTGCATTCAATGTGGATGCCAGGGCAGCATACAATTATAAGCCTTCATTACATGGGGAGGGCTACACATTGAAGCTATCAGAGTGACCCTGGAAAGACTCTGAAATCAAGGTAGAGGCAGGAAAAAATGAGATGTCTGGGCCCTTCTAGCTCTCAGGACCCCATGGGGTCCAACTACAATTTGTGACAAATCTATAGGATAAAATATCTTTAGTGGTTGGGTCCACTCTGGTTTCTGGATGCTGGACCCAGGCAGAAGGCAGCACAGGCCGTGCACCATGCAGGTGTGGCCTCAAGACCCACCATCCACCTCAAGTCCTGACTCAGCACTGGCGGGTGTGGGGAAAAGAAAGAGAGATCAGACTGTTACTGTGTCTGTGTAGAAAGAAGCAGACATAAGAGACTCCATTTTGTTCTGTATTTGAGATGCTATTTACCTGTAACCCTACCCCCAACGCTGTCCTTGCCAGAGACATGTGCTGTGGTGACTCAAGGTTTAATGGATTTGGGGCAGTGCAGGGTGTGCTTTGTTTAACAAGTGCCTGAAGGCAGTACGCTTGTGAAAAGTCATCACCATTCTCTTAATCTCAAGTACCCAGGGACACATACACTGTGGAAAGTTGCAGGGACCTCTGCCTAGGAAAGCTAGGAATTGTCCAAGGTTTCTCCCCATGTGATAGTCTGAAATATGGCCTTGTGGGAAGGGAAAGACCTGATCGTCCAACACCCATGAAGGGTCTGTGCTGAGGAGGATTAGTATAAGAGGAAAGAAGGCCTCTGGGCAGTTGAGATAGAGAAAGGCATCTGTCTCCTGTCCGTCCCTGGGCAATGGAACATCTCAGTGTAAAACCCGATTGTATGTTCTATTTACTGAGATAGGAGAAAACCACCTCAGGACTGAAGGTGGGATGTGCTAGCTGCTCTTTATGTACTAAAAAGGTTTATGGAGATGTTTGCATATGCTTATCAAGGCACAGCACTTTTCCTTAAACTTATTCATGTCACAGAGATCTTTATTCACATGTCTTTCTGCTGACCTTCTCCCTCCTATGATCCTATTTGGTAAAGGTAAAGATAATGGTAGAGATAAAGATCAATAAATACGGAGGGAACTCAAGAGACCAGTGCTGGCGTGGGTCCTCTGTATGCTGAGCACGGGTCCCCTGGGCCCATTTTTTCTTTGTCTCTGTGTCTCATTTCTTTTCTCAAGTCTCTCATTCCACCTAACGAGAAACGCCCACAGGTGTGGAGGGGCAGGCCACCCCTTCAGGCAAGTCAGCATCTTAGGCCCTGATCAAGGCAAGGATCATATCAGATGTCTTGGCTCTGGAAGGTGAGGTGTGGGGCGAGGTGCACTTCCGCAGACAAGGAGATTCCTCTCCCCCAACGGCTGTGATTAACAGACAAGGTATCAGGGAGGTACAGGGAGCTTGGGGCTCACTCAGGCTTGTGGGTGACCATCAAGCTGCAGTCAGAGCTGCCACAGAGTTGTGCAATGCAGCAGACCTAGGTACAGCCTTCCTCCAGCTCCTGCCCCATCTACCCTCTGCCTTGGTTACCTAATTCCCACCATCTTTATAAGGGGCCTGAAGCCAGGCTTTGTTGCTTGTCTGACACCTTGGAGAACTGTGGTTACCCTTTCCAGGTGGCAGCCTGGAATCCATCCACCTCACCTGACTCTGAGTACTGCCCTTCCCTTGAGGCTCACATGGAAGCACCCCTTCTCCAGAGGATCTCCTGGATAAGGTTGCTGAATCACATCACCCACCACCCCGGTAGCCTGTCCCCTCCGCCTACCCATACCAAAGGCTCACAGGGAAGCACTCCTGCTCCAGGGGACCTCATGGGTTAGAGCACCTGCTTAGAGCACCCAGAACCCCAGCATTCTGCACCCTCTGCTACCCACAGGGCTGGTGAGCCTTGTGATCCCATCTACTTAAGTACTCACTTTCTTCCAGACCTGGATACCTGTATCTCACTTATCCAAAAACTGAACCTATGATTCTGAACTGAGGCAAGAACCCAGGCAGGCTCCTAGGAGGGAGATGCTGTCACCCTTTGGGGGATGTGCTTTTAGTTCCCTGGAGTGTGACCTTTACCTCCCTGAGCCAGCCTGGGGACCCCTGGTTCAGTCATACTCACCAGGAAAGAACTGACTCCCTCATGCATGGACTCAGCAGGCCGGCCGGCATTCCCTCCACCATGCCGGGGGTACTTGCAGGAGGAAGCTATGACAGAGGAAGGAGATCCGCATGTATCACAGCTGATCCATGTGTTGATGCCTCCCACACCCTCCCCAGTGCTGCTCAGGGTCTCACTGACGCTCCAGAGGACACGACTCTCCACCCCAAATGACAAGGTGTTACCTCTAATACATCCTTGCTCCCTACCACAACTCCTCCTGGGTTTCCAGGTCCAGCTCCAGTGTTACCCACAGAGTGTCTCTCCTAGACATCTACCCACAGGATACACTTCTCCTTCAACTCCTATGGCACCCACCACCCATCCCCTTCACCCACCTACCACCTCCAGGAACAGTAAAGAGGGCTTGTACTGACTTCTGCATATCGGTTTCATTTCATTGTGTACATAAATGTGAGCTCTGAACAGCAAACCTGTTTTATATATGTCTCTATCATTTCAATTTCACAGCACAAGGGCCTTGCTCAAATTGCTGAAACACTGAAAAGACTGCAAAGAGTTCTAACCCAGGATCCAGGACCTCAGCATGAGGTTCATCTTTGCCACTTCTGACTTGCAACCCTGAATAAGCCTAAGTACCACGGGCCTCATATAAAACAGAGAAAACAAGGCTTTGCCCCACCAAACTCCCTCATAACGGGAAGAACAAACAAAGCCTTTGCAAGATGTAAGAATGGATGCAAAAGGAAAGGAGTTACTATTGATCTATTTCTTTTCATTGAGGAGAGGAGGTTATATGCAGATATAAAATACTCTCAGTGGAAAACAAATGACAAAAAAATCTAGGTATTTCAAATACAAGTTTAGACTTCAAACAAAGAGATCCAAATATAGGTTGGAAAATATTTTGAAGATCTTGTTTTGTTTCAACTGTGAGTCCACACTGGTTTCGCTCTAGTTTGGACTGATCTCCTCAATTTCTATTTTAAGTCTTTGCTTTGATTTACACATACATACACGATTATTTAGAATTCCAAACCCAGCCGGGCACGGTGGCTCAAGCCTGTAATCCCAGCACTTTGGGAGGCCGAGGCGGGCGGATCACGAGGTCAGGAGATCGAGACCATCCTGGCTAACACAGTGAAACCCCGTCTCTACTAAAAAACACAAAAAAACTAGCTGGGTGAGGCGGTGGGCGCCTGTAGTCCCAGCTACTCGGGAGGCTGAGGCAGAAGAATGGTGTAAACCCGGGAGGCGGAGCTTGCAGTGAGCTGAGATCTGGCCACTGCACTCCAGCCCTGGCGACAAGCGAGACTCCGTCTCAAAAAAAAAAGAATTCCAAACCCATAATGTGCTGTACTGCAACGAAGAATGTTCTGTCTCCCTTAGTAGAGGCCGAGTCTGCCACAGTCTTGCCACTGTGGGTGTCTACTAACAGCCTCCAGTGCTGGGGTACCCAGCGGTCTCAAGGTCCAGACAGGAGATGAACTTGACTATCAGTGACCTGAGTGGCTCCCAAGTCTCCCTTGGCCATGGGAGACCAAGGACTAGCTAACCACTGAGAACCCGGTGCCACCTCCCCTCTCCCTCTATTTCTCGGTGAGGGCTCATACTGACCTTGGCAACATCGGCTGTTGTCTATTGCAGGAAGGGTATTCCGCCTGGGGATGGCAGCGTCAATGGACCACCTGCTGCTTTCACTGACTGAAGGTCTCTGCTGAGGGCTGCCCCACTGACATGCTTCTGCCTGACTTGCCTTGGGCAGGGGAAGGGAGCCAATAGGCCCAGGAGTGGCCATGGCCATGGCACAGAGGTTCTTGTCTAACGTGACTGTCCTAGGGATCTGGTGCGCTGAGAGTGGGATGGCCGGAACACCACTGTTGTTCACCAGGTGGCCCCCAAACTCCTGGCACAGGGTGCTTCTGGGTGCCTTGAAGGGGTACACACCCTCATTATCTGCCTCAGAGCCTGTGAGGCTGCCTCTGGTGTGGCCATGGGAGGCCAGGCTCCAGGGGGTTCTGCAGGTGCTGCCTCTGAATTCTGTATTGTGCTGGCTCGGCTTGGAAAGGCTATGGAAGCCATGGATGTGACCGCTGACTCCATCGACACTGCATTCACTGTGCTGGGCAAGATTTTGCACAGCTGTGCTTCTCCTCAAGGGGAATGGGGCCCTGGAGCCCTGCGAGAAGCTGGCACTCCTAAGACAGAGAAAGAAGGGAAGGGGCAGGGGTGAGAGGAGGCCAGGACTGCCCCAGGGAGGCAGGCGGGGAAGTTCACAGCCCCATGTAGTGAGATGGTATGGAGAAAACACAGGAAGAGGAATTGGGCAGACCTGAGGTTTGTCTAGTTTGGGAGTTCACTACCTTGTGGCATTGAGCATTTTCCCTTTCTGATTTAGTGTCTCCGTCTATAAAATGGTGATTAAAAACTCACTTTGCAGATTGCTTAGAAATCAGACTCTATTATATCTAGAGCTGGTATATCTATATCTGGGCTGTGATTAGCAGGGTGATCAGTTTCACCCCCACAAAACAGACAGCAGCAAGCCAGGTACACTGCCTATTGGTTCCCTGCTGTGAGCATTCCAGAATGTGCATGTCTGAATGCCCAGGCTGAGAAATGGTGGGGAGAGCTTTGAAGTGGGTGGCAGGAAGCAGCAAGCAAGTCATCTCATCTCTGAGTCTCAGTGTTCCCCTGTAAAGTAAACCAGCAGCTCATGGGTGTCAATGTGGTTAAGTTATAAAGAACTATTCAGAAGTAAGCAACAGATTCATCTTCTACCAGGTATTACGGTGGTTAGAGAGGCAATTAGAGGGAAAAGTTTCTCTCCCCAGAAACCTAAACATCTAAAGAAAAAATGGTTTCCTGTTTGGCAACTACATTTGGGATGGAAAAAGGTCTGAAGCCAGGCACAGTGGCTCACACCTGTAATCTCAGCACTTTAGGAAGCCCAAACAGGCAGGTGGCTTGAGTTCAAGAGTTCGAGACCAGCCTGGACAGCATGGTGAAAATCTCTCTCTTCAAAAAAACAAAACAAAAAAAATTAGCCGGGCATGGTGATATGCACCTGAAGTCCCAGTTACTTGGCTGGGAGGCTGAGGTAGGAGGATGGTTTGAGCCCAGGAGGGGAGGCCGAGGCTGCAGTGAGCTGAGATCATGCTATTGCACTCTAGCTTGGGCAACAGATCCAGACCCTACCTCAGAAAAAGAAAAAAGTTTTGAATTATTAAAATGTAGGTTTTGGGAGATAAGGCAAGTAGTAAAAAGAGAATCAATGAATGAGAAGGGAGCTGTGTCATGTTCCAACGCTGCCACTGATAAGCTCTGTGTGCCTTCCTGATTGCCCCAGACATGACCCAGAAATCACAGTGATTTCCAAGTGTCCATCTGGCTCTGCAGCTCTACAGCCTTCGGCTTTATGAGAGTGGTTTGGAACTGGGTTCTACGTTCTGTGTGGGTGCTCTGGGAAACTGGAGGATGTAGTTTTGAGCAAGTATGGATCTAGGTCTTCTTCACTATCTTTTATATTATTATTCCTCCTAGGATTTAATGTAGGGAAAAAAGTAAGACTGGATCCTTATAGCAGTGGTTCTCAGCCTCTTCATGGCCACAGGCATCTTTAAAAAGCTGAGCAAAAGCTCTTGGGGTATCTCCCCAGAATGAGGCATATCTCACACACATGCACATTTGCAAGCTGTTTCTAGGGGTCATAGCCCTCTGAGACCAATTCGTGGAACTGCCTCACTGGTGTGCTCTCAGCCTATGGAGAGCTTTCCCTTAGGGACGTGGCCAAAGCTGGCCCAGAAGCTTAGAAAAATGAAGGGAAGCAGGTGTTCAGACCAGGCTACCTCCTCTGTGAACATGGGCCACCAAGCTTCACACCCTTCCTCCCTGGGCCTGTGCATTCCTTCTCCCTTTCTATTCCTCTCCACACACGAGACCAAGCCAACAGCATGGGCCTCCATAACTGAACACGTGTCTCTAAAGCATGCTGTGCTTCACCAGCAGACACGAGAGTGGAGGAAGATGCAGGATCCTCATGTTCATATTTGTCTTTGGTGCCTTTCACTTGGTCTTTTGGAGTTTCCAGATCTCTGGTAGATATGCCACCTGGATTTGCTCCTGTGATGTTGGCTCATGCCTCACTTTCCATCTAGGCCAGGCACAGCAGACACAGATGCCACCTGCCCTGCAGGACAGGTGTCACAGCAGTGGAGGAGGTGTCATGAACGCACACCACCACAATCAGATGGGATGAGCACACGGCTGCCGACAGATCTGGATGAGCCCTCCCTGGTGGTGGTCGAGACCACCAGGAAAGCCTTCTGCAAAGCCTTCCATCTGAGTGAGCCCAGAAGAATCAGCAGCAGCTGGCCAGACAAAAGTTGAGACAAGGGAAAAGCTGTTCCACTTGGAAACAGCAAGATGCAGAACACAGCCTGGCCATTCAAGGGGCTGCAATCTGCTCAGGCTGAGAGATGACAGTGGAGGGGCCAGGCCAGCACTGAAGGGATCAGGAGCTTCGGAAAGACGTCAAGGTGGGGATAGAGTGTGGGAAAGCACCTCAGGTGTCCTGCGGTAATCTCACACATATTCAGAATAAGCCCATCATCTTCCTCCTGAAATCTACCTCTCCTGATTGTTCTGTCTTACGATTGGCACCAGCCTGTCAAACCCAAAACATAGGAGTTACCCACACTCTCATTCACTCACCGGTCAGCCTTAGTGAGCCCACCCCACTCATTTCCTCCTGATCCTTCTTCTGGACCACAAAAGGTCTCATAACAAGTCCTCCTCACATCTTCCCAGGGCCTCTCCAGCCCTCTGCATCCTGCTATTTACCTTCCTAACCTCCCAGCTTGAACATCTTCACCACTGTCACAGAGACTTTAGGATGAAGTCCAAACTCCCAGCTTTACTCCATTCCATCTCTGCAGTCTTTTCTCCCTAGTTACACTTCCCACCTAGGATCCACTCAAACCAGATGTTACTGCGTCCTCAGCGTGCTCCTCAGTGACACTTCTGGGCTTTGTCCTGTTGTCAGCTGTCCCTGGATGGCTTTTGAGGTCCCTCTGGCAAGCTCCTACTCCATTTATCCTTCAAACTCAGTTCAAAAGGCACATTTTTAAAAGCCTCTCTTATATCCTCTTCCTCCAAGCGTAACCACTCACCTGCATAACTGTTCTTGGAGTAGCAGCAAATTGCTATCTGCATCACACTCCATTGTTACTTATCTCCTCCACCAGACTATGATTTCCCTGAGGAAGGAAACCCTGTCTTACTCATCTTTCTTTCCTCAGCACCCAGGTTAGTGCTTGTCACACAGTAAACAATGAATAAATGTTTGCTGAAGGAAGAAGCAAATGAATGCAAAAGTAAATAAAGAAACATGGGGTGTTGCCATCCTTTTTCCTGAGCTTGGCCCAAACACTTTGAACCAGCAGATCCAAACTCTTCCTCCTTAAACCCCACTTTCTTATGTCCCAACATCTGCCTGCCCAGGTCCTTTATTCCAGCTCAGATACTTCTCAACCCTGAGCACGTCCCACATGGTCTAAACCCCATCCCTGGGTTTGCATGCCTCATCTTGCCTTGGAATGCTTCTCTTCAAAATGTTCCACCAAGTCCAAAAGACTTTCCGTCTACAAAAGAATTACTGGTCCCTAATTCTCCCTCCCATTTTAAGCACACCCTCCTCTGTGCCCCCATAGCACCTGGGCTCCCATCAGGATACGCACTCGCTCTGTCTTGTGTGTGTTACCAGTGTATGAGTCTCCCCACTCCCAGCAGACCCCGTGCTCTTCCTCCCTGTTCCCACAGCACCTGGGCTACCATCAGAACATGGATCTGTCTTGTGTTGCTCTGTCTTGTGTTGGTTTCTGGGTCTCTCTCTCTCTACTCCTAGCCAACCATGTCCTCCAAGACAGCAGAGGGCCACATCCTGTCCCCTGGAATTATGCCTGGCTTATGGTAGATGACACTGATGCATTTTGAGCAGGACTAATCATCACTTCAGGCATCAGGTAAAAGGTAATCAAGGGAAGCCAACATGCCCGAAATTACCTACTCAAAGAACAGGAGCACTGTGCCAGCACCCAGGGCTCTGGACACCCTGCTCAATCCCTGCTGCAGTGTGCTCCCCTTGGGCAAGAATCAGGAGGAGAACTCTGAGGACTCAGAGGTCCTGGGGACTCCATTACTGACATGCACACCCATGTGAGGCCAATGTTACTATGATGTCCTGCATTGCTTCTGTTGGATGGACACCTGGGAGCAGTGGATTTGGAGAGAGGCTTCTCTTCCAGGACTGCAGGCTGACAGAAGCCGCATAAAACAGGTAAGACCCTGTGTCAGGCGCATGACATGTGATGCCACTTTAATTCTTCCTAATAGGTCTGAGAGACACGTGTTACCCCTGTGTAGCAGATGAGGAAGGCAGTATATGGCCAAGTTGGTACAGGCAGACACTAAAGCACAAGTGCACAGGGTGCTTCCTGGAGTCAGCAAGCACTTTGGGAGGAAACACTCACTCCAGCCAGCAGCACACTGCACCTGCCCTCCTGTCCTAGGCTTCTGGCTGCACAAAGGCTGTGGCATGTGGGGCTGTCACACCACCTCCTGCATATTCTTTGGTGTCAATATCAACCCAGAGCTCTCCCCTGACTTTTAAAAATGGTTTCCTAGTTTTTGTAGCCACTTCCTGTTGCACTTGGTCACTACATTTAAATAAATAAATAAACACTGTAAAAATCTAAATGATGGGTGGCTGCTAAGATGGCCAAATAGGAACAGCTCTGGTCTGCAGCTCTCAGCAAGATCAATGCAGAAGGCGGGTGATTTCCACATTTCCAACTGAGATACCCGGCTCATCTCACTGGGACTGGTTAGACAGTGGGTATAGCCCACAGAGGGTAAGCCAAAGCAGGATGGGGCATCACCTCACCAGGGAAGCTCAAAGGGTTGGGTAATCCCTCCCCTTAGCCAAGGGAAGATGACAGGGACTGCGCTGTGAGGAATGGTGCATTCTGGCCCAGATACTACGCTTTTCCCATGGTCTTAACCCACAGACCAGGAGATTCCCTCAGGTGCCTACACAACCAGGGCCCTGGGTTTCAAGCACAAAACTGGGCAGCCATTTGGGCAGACTCCGAGCTAGCTGCAGGAGTTTTTTCTACACCCCAGCAGTGCCTGGAATGCC